GTGGCGGTGGTGGTGGTGCTGCTGCAGTTGCTCTCCTCGCTAACTACAGCTCTTGCTGCTGCTACTGCTACTGCTGCTGCTGCTGCTGCTGCTGCTGCTGCTGCTGCTGCTGCTGCTGCTGCTGCTGCTGCTGCAGTTGCTCCCTTCATTAACCACGGCTCCTGTTACTGCTGCTGCTGCTGCTGCTGCTGCTGCTGCTGCTGCTGCTGCTGCTTCTGCTGCTGCTGCTGCTGCTGCTGCTGCAGGCTGTACGTATGGCATTGGTGATAGTATTATCTCATTTATTTTATTGCGAGAGACAGACGGCGCAGTGCCTCAACCCCACAAAGGCCCTCGCTGCTGCAGTTGTTCGTCTCCTTTTTTTTTTATTTTTTTTATTTTTTTGTTTTGTTTTGTTTCTTTTTTTGTCTCCTCTTCTTTTGTCTCCGTTTTTGTATCCTTTTGTTTTTTTGTTTTATTTTGTTTTGTTTTGTTTTCTTTTATTTTGTTTTGTTTTCTTTTGGTTTCTTTTCTTTTGTCTCCCCTTATTTTGTCTCCTTTTGCCTTGTTTTGTTTTGTTTTGTCTCCTTTTCTTTTGTCTCCTTTTATATTTTTTGTTTTCTTTTGTCTCCTTTTGTCTCCTCTTCTTTTGTCTCCTTTTGTGTCCTTGTCTTTTGTCTTCTTTTCTTTTGTCTCCTTTTCTTTTGTTTCCTTTTCTTTTGTCTCCCCGTTTCTGTCTCCTTTTATTGTGTTTCCTTTTGTGTTTTCATTTATTTTGTCTCCTTTTATTTTGTCTCCTTTTCTTTTGTCTCCTTTTCTTTTGTCTCCTTTTCTTTTGTCTCCCCCTACTTTATTTTGTCTCCTTTTCTTCTGTCTCCTTCCGCTTTATTTTGTTTCCTTTTGTTTTTTTTGTCTCCTTTTATTTCTTGTACTTTTTAGTGTCTAGTGTCTCCTTTATCTCTATAAATAAACTGGTTGTGGTGTATGCTCGTTTTTTTTTTTTTTTTTTTTTTTTTTTTTTTTTTTTTTTTT